ATTTTCTTGGAAGAGACACATTAACCTTGTCAGCTGGCCAACAGGAGAGAAAATTTGGCAGTGCTCTTGCTGAGCTGGCCAGGTTACTACTGCGTTAAACTTCAGTGAGCAACCAGAAATGGCAACACGTGAGCACAGCACACGAGTGGCAACGCTAAACCATTTAGAGGCCTCCTCAGTTACAGAATTATTTTCTTTAGCAAGTGAGAAGATAAAAAAATTTCAAGAGCCTTTTAGTGTTGTCAGATGGGTAGAAGATAAAACTTCACTTTAAAATGCCTACACCAAGCCTGCTCAGTATTTCTGATGGTGGGAAATCGATGTTCTGCCATGGTAAATACCTGCTGGCCATTACATTTTTAATGCAGCCTTTCAAAATTTCATCGAGCCTTTTAACAAACAGTGAGTAATTTTAGATAATGAGCAAGCGACACAACATTTTTGTCATCCCTGTTGTCACTTTGGTAAGAGCAAGGCTGCTTTGCGCTGGAGCTGTTGAATTTCGATGGCAAGTTCTCAGGCTCTCCATCCACATACTGTTGCCTACACAATCAGTTCTGAGCTGTCATCTGAACACACCTTTTATTTCCACCCTGCATATCTTTTTCATGTTTGCCTTTCATGTCTCTCCGCCGAGTATATGTGAGGGACAAATGAAGCTGAAGGCAGAGGTGAGCAGGAGCAAGGAGTGGGATGGAGAGTCGATACCAGTGGTACAAGGCTCCTGCTTGGATTTGTTGGATGTAAAATGGCACACATTTCACAAAGGTAGAAGAACCACACGATGTGCTCTACAGGGCTGAGCTGTGTAGGACGTGGGCTCCTAAAAGAGCATCTCTGGGTGCAGACCCACAAGCGGAGAATGCAGTGTAGCTCCCGGAGCGAAGATGTGCTCTAAGCAAGTCTGCTTTTTATATTCTCTGTGCTACCTAGTTAGCCCTCCCCCCTTACAGTGCCCGGTATTTATGTTTCCAGATAATAATGATGTGATGTGGCTGGCAGAGTAATTTAAATAATTGGACATTATCTTGAGAAGCAAGCACCTAATTAGATCAAAATAAACTGAGAACTGAAATTTTCATCTGTTTCTAATAACCCTTTACCTATGTACAGTATCGCTGCCATGGCAGAGATTTCATTATTCACACCACTGTGCATACTTAGAGTTCACTAGTGATGGCGACTCCTGCAAGAGCAAAGAGCTTGGTGGTATTTTTTGGCCAAGGCTTAGTGGCTCATTCCTCTCCTGGTACTGCATACTTTTTTGCAGTCATACTGTGTTCTATTTGGCCCTTGTATAACCGGGGAGGTTTGAAGTTTGTCTCAGCAGTCTGGGTTTGAATGCATAGCTTCAGAGAGAAAAGGCTCAAAGAAAGTCTGGTCTTAGTTTTTTCCTTTCTCTAAGTTTATCTAGGAGTTTATAAATTCCTTAGTACATATGCATTGAAAAAATAGCAGCTAGTATGATCACGGAAGAAAAGAGAAGTCATTTTAGTGCGTATGAGGAAGAGGCAGCTCACACATTCTCTAGCATTGGGTATCATCGGGACCATCTGCGCGCATGACGATGTTGCCTCTCCAGCACAGTGGTTTTAACCTGGTCCTGAGAAGAGAACCCCACTGGAATTTAAAAGTTCAGTAAAAGAGTCTTGGTTTGGCTTTGACAACTACGACTGAAAGTCTGTGGTGTTGAGGGGGTCATTGAGTAATGAGCGGAAGTTACCAGGATTACAGCTAAGGGTAGTAAACGTGGGAAATGCTTACCAGCCAATGTACGTTTCCGTTATTTTTAGGGATTGGTTCAGTGTCTTTCTCCTGATTAGTTGCTCTTCCTCACATTTCCTCGTACTCTTATTCAGCTGATTTATTTAAAGGTATGTCAGCACAGGCTGAAATGAAACACTGTGCCTCCTCTTCCTGCTTATTGCTGACCGCTCCAATAATTCATTTTTTAGCTCATTAGCTAACGGGGGATGTGAACAGTGGTCCTCCAGGGGACTGCAATGAGGTTAAGTGATCTACTGCTGACAACTCTGCTCTTGGACTGGCCTTCCTTGGGGGAAATGAAACCTTGACCAAGACAAGCTGAGGATCCCAGAAGTGAAATTGGGGCATCAGAGAAACAATTACAGTATTTATGTCTTGTTGTCGGGATTTCTAAGATGAATGCGAGTGGCGGAGCTGAAGCTGTCTTCCAGGAAAGTCCCCAGGACTTCCCGTTCAGAATGAAATGGTTTGTGCCCAGAGATGTAGGGATGATGTCCATGGACATTGGCTTTCTAGGTACTCATTCAGAAACAGTCCCTCTACATTTTGGCTGTACGTGAGGCATGGGTGAGCATGCTTTTCCTCCTACCTCTATGATAAAGTTTCGTTTTCTACCAGAAAATCCAAATGACATACCTTTCTTGTGCCCACTTTGTACAGCTGAATAAGATGTAAATCTCGTTTCATAGCCGATGCCAGCAACATGCTGCCCCCAAATGTCTGAGGCTTTTAAAACACCTTTATTTCTGTTTGTAATTTTTGCAGTTTTCCCACCACAACCCTTAATACCACTCCAAAGGTAGAATTTGGCCTTAATGAATTGAGTCTCTTGGTGATCTGCGTGGTCAAGAAAAATTGGGCGAGTTTTCTGAAAAGGGGAGCTGAAGTGAGGCAAAATAACACATGCGAAGGTTAAATTTTTAGGTTAGCATAGCCCAGTGGCACAGCCTGCTGCTGGCTGCAGGGTCCTGCTCTGGCCAAGCATGCCAGTGAGCATCTCATGAGGGACCTGATGTCTCCTTAGCTGCTACCTGGCTCTGCAACAGATTTCCTCCACTGAAGGGATGGATCCTGACCAGAGCATACAGTCAGTGTTAATGCAAAGCATTTATGGGTTACTTGGAACATACTGCAGGAGAGTGCTTTAAGGAAGGACCATTTGCATCCTCTCCATCACTAACACAGGTGGCAGCATGTTCCCCTTCCTCAGAGTTAGATTTGCTTTTAAATGGGTTTTCTGTTCTTTTCCCGGCCTTTTGAGACAGTAGGATAAACCTGAGCAGGAGCGGGTTGTTGGTCTCTTCCAGCCTTCCAAGAGCAGCAGGTTGCCTTTGTCTGCTCCCACGCAATGCACAGCAAATGTGAAATTCGTGCCGATGAATTTGTAAAACAGTAGCCCGAGAGCCTCTGCCTGAACTTGGCACTTAGTGCCTCTGTGCGGTGCATACCATAGCTCACTATTACGGTGTAAAGTGAATTGTGATTAGAAGTGGGAGACTTGTGTAAAACAGCTTCCTTTCTAAACAGAAAGAGACTTCTCTTCAAGCCATGGCGATTCCAGCAACCGATGCTCTGACAGGAGCCAAAACTTACTGTCACTCAAAAGACAGTCTAGGGGAGAGGAGGGATTCATTTGCAGGCTCTATATGTATTTAATTATGCGAGCTTTACTAAACATTCCTGAAGATACACTAGATGGTTACCAGACCTAGAAGTGTTGCAGTGTTGTAGGAATGCCCATTTTATTGTAAATAATTGCATGTATGTTACTTTATCCTCCTCATTGCACTGTTCTTGGGGTTTTTCAACCTTAAAAAAATACAAACACAAAACCCATGAATTAAGGATGCAGTAGTAACAGAAGTCCTTTTCTTCCTTCTCTCCATTTGGAATACCTGAAATGATACTCTGTTTATCAGCTCCTGCCATCAAAGGTTAATTTGCAGCGCCCCAAATGTTTTTGGGTTTTTTTGTGTGTGTGTGTCTTTTAGCTTGCAGGAGTCATTCAAAGGTTTGATTTACACGAAGCACTCTTTGTGTTAATTTTCTGTTTGCACTTTTGCTCTGAAAAAAGCCCTGGACCTGTTTGTGAGGTAAATTTTGGTGGGGTAGAGAAGCTCATGCTTTGGGAAGCTGTGCCTTAAAGCATCCAGGGAGGTCAAAGCAAGGTCACTCCACATGTACCAGGAAATGATGCAAAACTAATCCAGATTTGCTGTTGGAAGGATCTGTTTACATAAGTATTTAAAAACAGATTAGGGCTAACCTGACACTAGATTACTGAGAGTAGTGTAAACACGGCTGAAAGGCGTAAACAGAGCTTTGCCTTTTGTACTGCAGAGGAGAAAATCTGTCACCAGTAACAAGTTGCCTGGCTTAGGTGATATATATGGTTTTCACAGGCTGGACAGATTACCTGAGGTACCTCTAAATGGGACTTTGTCTAGGGCTAGATCTCTTAGATCATATAATTGTATGGTAATTTTTTTAATGGAGAGTTGAGGGACTTGTTTGTAGTCCTTGTTATCCTGTAACCTAATAGCATCCAGAAGGCTTTTGATAGTTCTTTGACATGTCAGGAGGAAATGGTTCTTCAAAGTATTGTTTTGATGGTTTGCATTTTGGAAAAACAAACAGAGGAACCATCCATATGCCTTTTGCATTGGAAACATTACTCAACTTGTAGAAGGAAAAAGCACCCCTGAAAGCAAGGCTGTGTCTCTCAGGGCTTGCTCTCCTGTCTGAAATGCAAGCCCAGGTGCTTGGTTACTTCTGGTCTTAGATACAGAAATTTGGTGCGTTTTCTGTAATGTATTTTGCAGCACAACCTTAATGTGGAACCAGGCTGCCAGTTTTGACTTTGGACTTCATGATGGCGAGGGCTCTTGCACTGACATCTTGCCAGTCCTCAGGGCAGCCTGGAGTTTTTTAAGACCTCCTGGCTGTTGTGATGTTACGACCTTGTAGGCATGACATCCACTGAGGGGGATCTCAGGCATTGCAATAATATGGCTCAGTAATGATGAGATGGGTGACACAAATATCACTGCAAAGATAAAGTTTGGGTGAACTGTTTCTATGAGGGCTTTCTTGCCAAAAATTTGAAGGGGGAGTAATTTTTATGTCAGTTAACTGCTTTTTGCTAGCATAATGATGGCCAAAGCTGAACTTGCACCATTTTACAGAGTCAGTGAAGTTGGGTTAGAGTGACCTGTCTCCTTTGGCTTCTCTAGGGAAGAAAAAGAGCGCTGGATACGTGCAAAATACGAGCAGAAGCTCTTCCTTGCCCCGCTGCAGTGCCTGGAGCTTTCTCTGGGCCAGCATCTCCTGAGGGCTACAGCTGAGGAGGACTTGCGGATGGTCATCCTGCTCCTTGCCCACGGGACTCGGGAAGAGGTGAACGAGACCTGCGGAGATGGTGATGGGCGCACTGCCCTCCACTTGGCATGCAGGAAAGGAAACGTGGTGTTAGTGCAGCTCTTGATTTGGGTAAGTGCTTGGTGCCTGGTCAGGGGACTGGCTGGGGTGACTTTTGCTTGGCTATGTCCCTCAGCAGGACCTCCCAAACCTTCAGCGGGTTCCACAAAGCCTTTGCTGATGTGCCGGGTCTAGATGTTCCCCATTGCATGCTCTCAAAAGACAGCAATGTGATAAAAAAGTATGTTTCTGCCTGTCTGCTGCTACTTGATGGAAAGTAAAGGAGAGCGTAGGAAATGAGGAAGGAGAGACTTCCCGAGCACCTGTTTGAAACACCATTGTGGCAAATTTTGTACCACACATGAGCCTCTCCCTGTAGAAACCTTTATGTATGTGACTTAGTGCTGCTCATGTTGTCAGGCTGGTATCCTGCCTGCTGTCTTCTCCCTTTCCCTATCCTCAATTACATTCAAACCAATTTGTCCTCAGTCCACTCCCTCCATTTTAACTCTCTGTTGGCACCGCAGCTTCCAACAACACATCTCTTCTTTCTGTAGTATGGTGTCGACGTGATGGCACGCGATGCCCATGGCAACACGGCGTTGGCCTATGCCCGGCAGGCCTCCAGCCAGGAGTGCATTGATGTTCTCCTCCAGTACGGCTGCCCCGATGAGCGCTTCGTCCTCATGGCCACTCCAAACTTGTCCAGGAAGAACAATAACCGAAACAACAGCAGTGGAAGGATGCCCACCATCATCTGAGGAGCTCACTTGTGCATTTGCTGACCTGAATTACATACGCAGCCTCACATTCCTCCATCCCCATCACAGCTCTGCTCTGTGAGTCTGGTAACTCTCCTTTTCCCTTTTCCCTTCGGTACATCCCTGTCCCATCCGGAAACGGCACATCTGGAGAGCACAAGGGGATGAGAAGGAGCGAAAGGGGCTGCAGAGAAAGCAGTTGTTTCAGTGAAAGCTCTCGAATGATCGAAACAAGCGGGCGAGAGCGTGTGGGTTGAGCAGGACACGCTGCGCATGGCACCGGGACCATGGGAGAGCGGTCGTCCCCAGGGGGGGACGCAGGCTCCCTGAGTGTGTAGGGGAAGGGGCAGAGGGAGAGGCGAGCAAGAGGAGAAGGAAGGAGAGATGGTGACTTTCCGTAACTGACAGTTAAGCACATCAGTACATTTCACCTCTACCAAACGCAACGCCTGGATTTCATTCTCTTCTCTGAAGAGCTTGACGGCATAAATCAGAAGCAAGCACAGAGTTTGTCAGGTTTGAAGCTCCTATGATGGTATGTGTCAAATCAGTTGTAGCTAATCTGTCCGGGGAGAATACTGGCTTCATTACACTTGTATAGTTGAGTTCTTCCAGCATTACCGCTGTTTAATAGAACATGATTAGTCATCACGGAGAAAAAAGCATATTAGCTGAGGAGGTAGTTACATGGCACGCTTCGGTGATTGCTTGGATGTGATTGCAATATTCTTAGAAGCATCATATTATCTCAGACATGTTCTTTCAAGCCCTTGGAGCCCTCCTTTCTAAATTCACTGTCATAATTTAGTATCTGTTTAATTTTTCAGTCCAAAGAGAGGAAATGAGTTGCTGAGTGTTATTTGACTGCAGTCTCCTTGGTGTAAAAACAAAATGGAAAAAATAAATAAGAGTAACTATGAAACACAAAAAGGAATAATGAATACCGCTAAGGAAAAACATTTCAAGTACATTTAGTGGAATTAATAAATGCATTAAAGGCTAATATTTTTTCAGCCAGCAGAAGTAAGTTCTGTCATTTTGCCAAGGTAAATGTGTTGAGTTTTTGGTCACTCCTGTGATGCATTGCCTAACTTATACAGATTTTTGTATTGTGTCTCTAGATTATACGTATGTAAAATCTATTTGAATAAAAAAACCATAAATATGCATTGATTTTTTTTTTGTACAGAAGATGACATCTCTGTTAATTTATAAACTGTAATGGATGTGAACTAAATAATGTGCAACTAGTTAGGATCTGTGGGTTACAGATCATTGTACATTGAAAATATTTCCGACAAGCGAACTCTTGTTTCCATCACAAGCCTTTGAGAAACATATCAGAAGGAGATTGTGGCACATTTGGCATGGAAAAAGAAAAGTGTACAAGACCTTTTAGAAAGGAAAAAGAGGCTGTTTCTCCGCGCTGTAAATATATTTTACTCCAGAAGTCACGAAGCTTTCACAAGCCAAGACAAAAAGCCCTAGTCTGGCTGTGGGAAAATCAGATTTGATTAAGTTCAGAATTGATAGCCTTCACCGCGGCGGGCGGGGCACGGCTGCGCTTGACTCCCAACTTGGCTGCTTTCTGGAAGAAAAATGGCTTGTGAAAGTAGCCTGGACAGTTAATTTGAATTCCAAGTTTTAATACTTGATTTGATTATTTTGGTATTACCAGGCAGATCCCAGCTTTTCCTATTTTCAATGAAGTAGGATTCTGGCATGGGGAAGCAGGCTGTATGGTTTTTGGCAGGCAGAAAAGTGATTTTTTTCAAGTGGCATATGGCAATGTGAAGATGGGGGAAGGGTATATCACGGAGAAAGTTGAAAACTCAACTGAATTTGATGGCAAAGGAGCAATTATGTGAAGGCAGTGAGGTGCACACAGCATAGTAATTTGCAATCTACCTGCTCGTATGTATTTCCCAAGCCTTCAGTGGTGCTCTTCCTTGGGGCTCTGGATTTCATTTGGCATACAAATGGGAGGAGTGTAGCAATTGCTAAATAAACTACATGCGGACAAAATGTGAAGGAAAAAACCATAATCTGGTTATCCTAAGGAAAAAAAAAACAAAACAGAAAATTACAGATTTTATGTAAAATCAACAAATTGTGGAAGAAAAGTGAGCCTCAAGGTGGAAGCCCAAGAATATTGACCAGCTTTTCCTATTTGGTGGTGTTCTCATTTTGTACTTTGTTACTGTATAGACCTTTGACTATTTGGGGGTGGGGAGGGGAGGAATCTTTCTTCAACCAGCCTAGGCTGGCTGCATCAGAGTAAGGCTACAGCTGATTCTCTTCGTACTGGGATAATTTAAAATTTTTTTTAATTGAGGAATGTTGTCTGTTATAATTGCTATTTCTCCATCATTCCCATGCAGCTCCCTGGTCTTTGGTACCGATGGGTGGTCCTTCAGCGATGGCACAACCCATCTAATGTGCGTCTGAAGGGGATGCTGTGAAGCCCACTGTGTATTGGTGCTCACAAGCTTTACACCCCTACTGGGGGGGGGACACAGCAGGGATTCAGGAATCGCAGCTCGTGGTCCCAGAGGTGCTATAGCTGCCTGCTGTTCCCCTGGGAGCATCAAGGGCATTTGTATCCGAAAACCAAGTCCAGTGTTTCAAATACATGGTAGGCAGATTTGCCACCATTAAGTTCTCAGTGCATGTTCCATTTCCGAGCTGTTTTTTTCCCTAATTGAAAATATTTTCTGTACGTAATTTAATGCTCTCTTTGGGCCACCTTCTTGTAAGGCTGAGAGTGGTGTTTGAGAAACAAGGGCAATCAGGCTGTCACGCAGATTTCAGTTTAAGAATTATACACTCCTTCCATAAAAATTTTGTGAAAGCGAACATCGATAAACACAGAATATTTTTAGGAGAGGAAATTCCACTGTATTATAGGAAAAGTGATATATCCAGGCTAGCCAATAATAACCTCATACTTTAATTAAGCAGTAGCACAGTTGCTTTTAACCTAAACACAGTTTTCCATTGGAGGTGTAAGCGTTGGCAGTAACTACGTTGAAGTGGTGTAGACTATGTGATGGCTTCCCCAAACCTGGAGGGGGGGCAGTCTGTGGGGAGGATAACTGGTCGTGCATGCAGCGGTGACCCCTTCAAAAGAGGGGAGATCACCCAGCATTGTCTCTCCAAGTCAGGAGAGACCTTCCCTGGCACTACAGCTGGTGATGCTCCAGCCACAGGAGAACAGACCAAGGGTCTGTGCCTCATGGGGTGTTGGCTACAGCGTCCCCTTTTCAAGTGGGTTGGATGCCTGTGAGAAGTTGTGTGGTGCCTCCTGAGCTAGTGGAACAGGCCACCTGGCAAGGGAGTCAGGCCAGCATAGACTCCATCCCCTTCTTGCATGGTGAAGGAGAGGAGGGGAAACCCCTTTCCACCACAGCTGAGAGTGAGGATGGGGGAGGTTCTCCGTGGCTGGAGCCTGGCAAGGCTTGGCTTTGTGAGCCGAGGTCTCTGGGCTCTGCATGCTATTCAGGGGATGCGTTTGCACTTTGCAGAAGATGTTCTTGAAGTCGTCCAGGTGCGGAAACAGGCAATATATACCGACACTTGGAGAACCTGCAGGAATAGTTCCCCTTGCTTTCACTCTGTTAACCTGTCCATTTTCTGTTCTTCATTTTGCATTTAGACCCTCTTGTTGCATTTATGGAACCCCCTTGCCAGGCCCTTTGAGCACATTATGAGCAAATTGAAAACAAATTGAGGTCCAGTCAATAAGAAATCCCAGAAGAAACATGTTAGCTAAAGCTGTCTTCTCTGAAAATGGAGTCCACAGCTGTGGTTTTCATTGCGTCCCCCATTTAAACCTTTTTATCATCCCAGATACCTTTAAATACCCCTTCCTCTGCACTTTATCCACGATAACTAAAACACTAGAAGCAAGTCAGCCTTTGCTATTAACATCAGCACTGTCCTTCTATTTATTTTAAGCTAATTGCTGTTGAATGGTAGAGATGAGTCGGATGTGTCATACCTAGCATCTGAACCTTAATATTCCCAGAACTGAGGAGGGTTTACTTATCACTGTTTATGAAGGAGTAAGATCTAACTTTGGGAAAATTGAGGGTCCTGTCAGTGCAGAGGTTTGGCCAAGAGTTCCCACTACCAGATTTCCAATTTCATTGCTAAAAGGAGGTAGAAGAAAAGCTGGTTTTGGAGAACCTTAGTATATTCTGGGCTAGGTACTGCTCAGAAAGCCAGGTGAACTCCAGGAAGGTAGAGAGGATTTTTAAGCATTTGGGCATAGTGTATAATAGCTGTGTAAACATTAATATTGTTTGATTTGCCATCTTTTCCCCATTTCCTTAAATTATGTGTGTTAGTGCAAAAAAGCTTTAGCTGCACTTGGAGATTTCCCCTGGCCAGAGGAAGCTGAGTAACGTAGGGAGAGGAATAGAGGTAGGAATTGCGGGTACGGGCTAAGAAGTGATCTCCAGCACTGTAATGTAGTATAATTAGATTATATGGGGTTTGGATAGTTTCATCTTTTATATTTGTATGGAGATCAGGAAAAATGAAGTAATTTGTAGTTTCTAGTATAAAGTAGTAATAGTGGAGACAAGCACAGATTTCACAAGGGGGTCCCAAAAGGGCCCTTTCCAAACATCTCGGGGAGCCGCGTTTGCACCTTAACAGGGAACAAATAGTCATTGTGGCTGGAGGGACTTAGGGTAAAGGAGGACAGCATTGGGGACCAACCTTGGGGCAGCTTGGCTGGATAGGAGACAACTTGCTCATTCCCATCTCATCGTCAAGCATCTTTGTTTCCCCTCCAGTGGCTGCTACAGTGATGCATACATGGGATCTCTGGCTATTAGTCTTGGATCTTCAGTTCAGCATCTCCTTCTGTTCTTGGTGATTTGTGGGTAAAGTTTATTGTGTAGAAAACCATTTTTGGATGTTCTTGTGTTTGCTGCATAGCAGGAAAAAACTCCGCTCCAGATTGAAGTTCTTTTCAAAGTAGAAAAACATTAAACTACCCCAAATGAAAAGGTTCTGCAATGAGTTTTGACTTCTTAAATTCCAAGCTTCAAAAAGAACGTTGGTTTGAATGGTTTTATTAGAGAATAATCTCCTGTTTGAAAAAATATAGAGGTAATAGAGCAAAATATCCAAAGCTGTAGGTAGGTAGATTTGTTGTACTACGATGTTCTGGGTTTTGTTTGGTTGTTTAGCATGGGCCAGTTTTTAAAGTAAATATTGGGTGGCCTCATCTCATGACAGTTTACTTTGACTGAATCTGTCTCGTGTTTTAAAGGGAGGTTCAAAGGGTTTTGGCCAAGATTTTCA